TATTTCTGCAACAGAGATTCGTTTAGACGGTGCAGATAGGTTGCTGCCGGCGAAATTTCGATCTCCTGGTTTTCACCTATTCGGAGCCTGCTCGGCATGCTAAACCCATATCTGGGCTTCGCGGCGCTTGAGGAGGCGAAGATGGGCTTTTTTGAGGTTTCCTATGCCCGCCTTCGCTGAAATACGTGTAAAGTGGGTGGGGTCAGGAACGAAGGGACGTGGTCCGGAAGGCTTCTGGTGTAGATTTCAGGCTTTCCAGACACTTTCTTTGCGCCAGACTTCAATGCTAGATTAGTTGGAAGGCCTACCGTTGCAGTGCTAAAATCACATACCCATCATTTCGCCGGAACGCTGCCTTTGAAGATCGGCAAAAGACTTTGTGGGAGGAGAGAATAACGATCAAACAGTGCATATACATTTTTGGGCACTGTATATAAAACTTAATGCTTCTTTGCCTGTGTGCATTAACGTGTAAGGAATAGAAAATTCCTCTGAATCGATGCGGACCAATTGCACACATACCGTCTAGTCATTGACCCTAGGGACTGCTCAAACGTTGCGGACCACGCACAGCGGGCTAGAATGTTGAGAGAGCTGTAGAATGACGATTTACTTGGGCAAGCGAGTGCTCTGCAGTAATGTCCAGTCCGTGTCCTCATCGACTCGACGATACATTTCTAGGCGGGGAAGATATCAGAAGCTCCTTTATATTGTCGATCAATATCAATTCCATAGATTTTTGCAAGCTTTGAACTAGGGGCTGAGAATGGCATAAAGGAGGTATGTGAGCATGCTGATTACGAATACATTTTTCAGTTTTTTATTTTCAGAAAGCGCTGAGAATTGGCACAATGCGACGAGCGAGGATGCTGACAACGGAAGTAAGATTGATGTAAAAAATACCCATTACATTTGTCGCTTTTATTGATTTTCCTGCAGACAGTCTGGAAAGCTGGGCGTTGGTGCAGGAGTAAGTGAGCATGCTGATAACGAAAAATAAGGGAGGCAATGGCATAAAGTGCTATAGGCAGGGAAACGTCAGGAAATAGTAATCTTTATTGTATTGTATAACAAGACCGGGTGGACCCGGATTTGTTAGATAGTATATTATAATATTTGGAAGGAGTCAATCCGAAAATCACAATTAGGGACACCTGTTCAGTACGAAGTCAAAATCAAAAAACCAAATCAAAATTGATTTGAATTTTCCACCGTTTCTGAAAAGGTGCGACTTTCACGCATCTCTTCAATCGCTGCTATTGCCAACATCAAAATCGCTTGAATCACTACAAAGCTATTTATCTCCTCTTTTTAAGATGTTTTCAAGGGTGTAGGGCGATTCGCACGACCGTAATGCTTTCCATGCAGGACCACCGCCGCGCGCGAAACACCCTGCGGCGGCTTTTGCCTAAGCAAAACAGGGGGAGGAAAGATTTGCGGCGTGCATTACATGTTAAGGCAAGTCAAAATCAGGGAGACACTGGAGACTGTCCGTGCGAAAAGACCGTCTCCCTGTTTTCAATGATGTGTTGAGGATTCCACGCATTTCCAGAGTTTCGGTGCAACGCTACTATTCAGCCTGATGAAGGTGTCACCCCCTCGAGATGTTTCACTAGAACATGACCGCAAAATGTGTTTATGCTCTAGCTACCTGTCTCTATGCACTCAGATGACAAAGCCCTTGCAATAAATTCTAGAAATTCCCAGGATTATTTTTTCGGCGATATTTTTATATTGGCTTGAATAAGGGCAGACGCAGTCCCAGGTCGTTGTGTACATAGGCAAATTTCGAAATCCAGAAAATGCACTCAGCTGCCATTATCAGCGGGGGGCAACCACCTGATTTGACAAAAAATGCGCTTACCTTACACAGGCATGTCATTATCAAAGAAATGTGATATCATCATTTGGAAGGACTCTTTAGATATTGAGACAATGTGTGCTATTCTCCTACTGCAGACCCTTTAAACCCATACAAATAACAATCTCTTCTCTGATATCTTTTATCATACAGAATCATACAGCATGAGCATATTCACTTATCCATACGGCCGAAAACTATCCCGCAAACTGTTGCAGACATAAAGTAGATGCATTCTCGGAAGACATTGCTTGAACAGCACAATAGCGAAAACGCCACTGCATGCAAAACAACATAATCATACAAAGCTGTTTACATCATATAACCGAGTTCAAACGAGGCAAAAAATACGTACAGAGAGAAAACCCGCCTTCATAACATTCACATCATAAAACCAACAACAAACCAGCGGTAATCATTCATAGAAAAGAATATTTGACGGAGTCACGCGAACAAATAATTCAGCACAACCCCTCGCGAAAGGTACTATACACATCGATACACAATCAAATTAGTAACAATATAAAGCATCTCCGTGAAAATCGAACACTGTAAACACAATCAAAACGCGCAACCGAACATATTTGACAGCTCAGAACAATTACAAGCGCTGCGGAATTAAGGTCAAGACTTTTTCGACCCGCAAACAAACACCGTTATTACACATGCTAAGACCCAAGATATAGCTAGTTTGTGAGTGGATTACTAACTTAGCTAGACGAACGGGATGAAAGAACAGAGAAGAGTGACTCTATGTTGCAAGGGGCAATCAAACCCTGCATTTTGGAAAGCACGGGTTCTCCTCCCGATGATATAAGAGTGTGTGTCCAAATCAAGTTAGTGTCATAATCGTTTACAATTTCCTGCTCGATGCAGAAGATGCGCAAAAATCTCAAAAAGTCAAACACACATGGAACATTCGCGAGTGAGCGAAGTTTAAGTGCTGGACCGGAGTAAAAATCTACGCAGTTTTTGTATAACATCCGCAATCATATCACATTGGCTCGCTTGGCGATAAATAAAACTCTATATAGTCTTACTTCGACATTAAACAACCCTGACTGGCATCAGCGACCCTAGCCTAGACGGCCATTCGATTCTCGCTCGCCTGTTTCTCGATGCCCATGAGCTGACTGCCTTGTGACTCTTTTGGACTTCGCTGGAGCTACCTCAGCCTCTGGGTATGAGGGGTCCGATCCAGCTCGTTTCCGACGGAAAGCTGGCTCCGGAGTTGGGGATGACGATCCATTCTCGGGATGTGTCACCTTCGACGACGATATTACAGGAGGTAGCAGAGTCTTGCGTGAATGGTCAAAAAGCTGCAAAACAACTTTTGATTTTTGTGGTGCATTGATAGCAGATGGTGCGGTTACCGTATCTAGGTGGTACTGTAACCGATATCGGCGGTAGAAAATCGATATTTCCTGCGGAGTGCGGTTACCAACGATATTCGATATTTCAGCAAATTTCTTTCCTACTTTCTTGAAGGCTGCAAGTAAGGCGCAATAATGATAAATGTCTTACAGGAAGGAAACTCCGCTCTACCTCTGACGATCCTGATGATCTCGTCGCTCCTAAATCCTTCCAGCGCTACTCGACTTACAACATTGCCATAATCAGTTTGCAGAGCACACCTGAAAAAGAGGAACTTATGCAAATAATAATGCAGGAAATTGATCAAAGATAATGCAGATGTAGCACTGCCACTCGATAAAGTTCAACATATTCCCATGACGAGAAGCACTTTGTACCAGACTAAATGCTCTGGGAGAATCTGCATCACGCAAGTTCACCTCAAACAATGACATGTATAGGGTTTTCGGCGATGAAAAGTCAGTGCATAATTCTCAGTCCTTCCTGGCTAGGATGAGATGTTCGAGGAATTACTAGGATTCAAGAAATAAAGGTCTGGACCGTAAGGCAGGTGCGGGTACAAATCACAATTGAGTGCGATATTTTGAAGAAAAGTCACATTTTGATTCGAATTTCAACGTACAAATTATGTTCAACCAGATTTGGCTCAACATCACAAATGTGTAGCACTCAGTTCCTGGCAGATGATCGGCAAACAGTTATGTGCCAGAATGAAAGAACCATCTGCAGCGTAACAAGAAATACGCTTAGCACGAATGTGACGTCAATTTGCACTTGCTTTTTTGGTAGCAAACATATGTTCGTGCACTCACTGCACTTGCTACAGCCATGCATCGTTGATTTTTCATGACCAGCGGCCAGAATCAACCATTCAGCATGAAATCTGGCACGGTCCTTCAAGCACTCCCTCCCCTCCCCCCATTCCCTCCTCCTCTGAACGACCCCCTCCCTCTCCATCTCCAGCTGCAGTTTGCCAATCAGGGGGAAATCAGACGACTGTACGCCAAATTGATACGAGCAACAACCAGTCTTACCCAAAAAATGGGGAAGAGTGTTGCACCAGATCACTATAGTAGCAAGAACAAGTTTTTAGCTTAAATTTCGTAAAGTTACGGACTCGTGTGTGGTTTACAAAGACAAGTTAAACGAGCCCTCCAGCACAAAGCTAAAAAAGGACTAGTGCTCAAATTTTGTAGTTTCCGGCCAAAATCCAACTTTTCCTCGATTTCTGGTATGTGAGCCACCGCATGTTCAACGGCATAAACCTTTAAATCTTTTTTTGTACCAATCTAGCCGCAACTTAGTTTTCTGAAACTTCAGTGACTGGCGGCTCAAATGGGTAAAGAAAGTATCAGCTGAAATCTTCTCAAAGGTTCCTTCTCTCTACCGAAAAGTGAAAGAAAGCATCCTTCTGGCATGGGTAGGGGAAAAATAATTGCTTTGCTTCAAATAGAAAGTCTACCTATTTACCGAGATAATACTGATCATATTAGAGACGCTTTCTCAACATTAGAAAGACTAGAGATTGTGACAAGAGGCGACATTAAACGGCAAGTTCGGAGAGCGATGCAGAAATTATCGTCCTTTGTTTCGATTCTATCTTTAACGAAACCTCCTCCTTTCTAAACAACAGTAAAAGGAGAAAAAGAGACTTTTCCGATATGAAGTAACCGACAACATCCATGCACATTCCATTCACTCTATTCACTCCGAAAGAAAATGTAACATGGCTGAGTTATCATTTGACAAGATAGCCATACTCTAGCACGATTTTCTAGATGGTAATATTCGCCGCAACTTCTGCTTAAGCACTGCCTTCAGATGAATTTTTGTCTTTTATCTCCTTCAAACCTTTCGACCACTACAAGCTAGCTTGTTAACAATCTAAGCAATTTCGCTAATATCAACTATCTCGACGATTGAGCTTTGATCAGCCCCTAGGGACGATGATCAAAGACCATCTGGTTTGTATGTGCATATGTTCTATGTTCTAATGCATAGAGTGCGAACCAGATGAATTGTGTGCTTTTAACTGAAATTACCTCACTCACATGTTACAATCATATTTCCTGACTCAATGATCACGTCACATGAGCCCCTACCAAGGAACGATTGTTCCTGCTTTGCTTCGTAGTTAACGGTCACTTATTCTTCTTTTCCCAATTTGATGGTTCGATAAATGTCATGTTCGTAAAAAATCGCGTTATTTTTGACCTAATTCTATCAAAGTACACGCATATGTCTTTTACTTACTTCGAAATAACTATCCAATCAAGAAGTTAGTTCTAGCATGGATATGACAGGCACAGAATGAAGTATCTAGGTCCCACGCAATTTTTGAAGCCTGATAATGCAGACAGTAAATAGGGAAGGCATGAATGGAAAATAGCAAACATGTGACAATGAAATATATCAGCAGACTCAAAATGGCGCTTTGTTTGAGAAAATGATGTGATTCATGCGTTTGCTCACGATTTAAAGCCACAATTTCAGGTATTTATTCCCTGATCTTAAAGGCAGCGTCCCACCAGAATGGGGGGTACCTGGCTCTGGCAGTAATGTAGTAGTAGACCTCTCAATTAAGTGACGACAGAAGTTTGCAGCGCGAAAGGGGGGTCTACGAAGTCTACAAATCGCCCCCCAAGTGGCCCGGATCTTACGGTAGGCTCGGATGAGTACGAGATGCATGCAAGGTAGAGACGCAGAGTCTTTGCGGGACCCTGCCCTCATGACTGCGTGCACTATGCCTGCTCTGGCCTTGCAGTTCGAAATCGCTGTGTTGGCGGCGTCCGGGCCTACCGTAAGATCCGTGCCACTTTCGGAGCAAATTTCAGGCTTGGTAGACCTCCTTTTTCGCTCCGAACTTCAGTCATCGCTTCGGTAGGGGGTCTACTTTACACTGCCACAGAAACCCGGTACCCATCTTTTTGCCGGGACGCTGCCTTTAAGGTTTTTAAAGCAAATTTAGGAACACCACTACATACTAACCTTTTGCGGAAGCGTTGGCGTCAGTGCTGGAGTACTAAATTGTTGCTACGTTCTGGTCATTTCAAATTATTAGTTGAAATTCTTTGGTTTTTTGTAATGATATATGACATCACCTTCTGAACACATGCAGCACGAATTGGTTCTTAAAGAAATTCGATGTAAATTGGGTTGAATATGCTGCACAAATGATGACTGATGACGATCGAGCTTCAAGGCAAAATATCCCCATAAGCTTTTACGGATTTTGCTGCAATCGCAGCTTCCCTAGTTTTAGCTAAAGAAAGTTGCGGATAGTTTTTTTTTGAGGGGCTGTGACCTCCTAAAACTCCGGATTTCTTATCTAATCACTGGTAGTAAAAGGGTAAACGTAACCATACAAACAAAAGAAAAAGCTACGTCGCACTCATATTTGTGTACTATTGATCACCAATACAAGTTTTCATGATTGTCCAAAGAATAGACAAAACTTTCGGAGCAATCTAGTATTTCAAAAAGTTGTCATTAGCTTTTGAAAGCACTCCTATGCATAGAGCAAAGTAGGAACCAGTCCTTTACGGAGATTGGGTTTAATGCGTTAGAACAAACCTAGGATTCGTAGATGTCTTGAATTTCTGCGTTAGTTCGGCAATCTGCTCATTTTTCAATTTCTTCTTTGCTGGATGTGTTGGTATCTGAAATAGGAATCTCAGCACTGAATGCATCTCCTAAATTTGCCGATAATGGGTACAGTTTGAAGACTAAATAAGAACTTTTTCGAGCAGCATATATTGCCCCAGAATTTGGCCACCTTATATTTTTTGTAGAAGAGCCGGTGTTGGTAGAGATCAATGCGATAAATTTTTTATCGAGCTAATTGCGGTCATGGGAGTGATCAAACTTTTGCAGACATTTGATAAAGTCGATAAATTTCCTCTTGATCAAGCAATGCTCTCGAATTTCTTTGGTATCTAAACAGGACCCGTAAATTTGCCACTCTCCTCTTTGTAGCTGCGAAAGAACCTAATCCGCTTGTGCTCTAACTATTTGATTTATGAAAGCAAGACCCTTACACAAGGCGCGCCAGAGATGGTTGTAAACGACTAAGAACTATACAATCTTTACCTTCTTCCACCTGCTCTCGAACAACTGCATAAAAATGAATACTAGGTTGTCCGGGAAATAATGACGTATCACACGCTACCGCGGCAGACTGAATACAAAAAAAAAAATGAGCTGGCTATCATTTGGTAGAGCAAAGCAAATCTACAAGCTAGCGTTTAAACACACGCACTTGATCCACGTGAAGTTTCAAGCCAAAATATAGGAAATTCCAAGTGCTCGAAGAATTTTATCCCTGCCTATAAAACTATTATGGATCTCTTTGGACAAGTATGTACTCTATACAGGGTACTCCAAAAAACGTGCCTACTGTTTGACTAATAATAACTCTCTTGTAATGAAGTCTTTCAAGAAGCTTTGAGTACGTTTTGTAAAGCTGGCTTCAAATACGATTTGCAGTATAGAGCGGATCACCCATCGCTCTTCATTACTGTAGGATTACGGAAGAAACTCCAAGTATATGGTGTCATTGTAAAAAAAGCTGCCGTTTCAAAAATTTTCAAGAAATGTGTAAATTTATGTAATAGGGTTTCCGTGGACGCTGAGTTCAATGCTTAACTATGCACAAGATTGCGAAGCTTTCTAGATGGGTAACCGCACTTTTTATAAACACTGAAAAAACTCCGCTACTGCCTAGCTCGCATAACTTTCTAATGAAGCATCATGATAAGTTGCGAATTTCATATTTAGAAATAGCAACTCTAATTAGCCCAGTGTGAAAGTTTTCAGGCTGTTTTGTTTCCTCTCTGAAGCAAAATGTAACCTTTCATTCAAAACCCTCTAGTTTTACCGTAATCATACAGTAACAAAGAGCGATTGGTGATCCTTTCTAGATCGTTCTGATTCGTATAGTAAATCTAAGTTGAAGCTAGCTCTACAGAACGGTGCCTAAAGCTTCAAAGACCTCATTACACGAGAGTTACTACCCAAACAGTAGGCACATTTTTTTTCAGGACACCCTGCACATTAGACACTCAACGTGTGCACTTGGGGAAATTATCCATTGCTAGAATACGAGAAAAAATACGTTAAAAACAAGTATATCGCTTCTTTCGAGGTCTTCATGCTAAGTCCGAAATTTCTCGAAAACTAGCCTTTAGAGTAGAGCTGAAAAATTCATGATCATGACTATACTTCCAAGGCTTACTTCATCTCTTATGGGAGAAGCCCAGGACTGTTTTGACAAAAACATGCCGAATTTCGCATTCTTGATTTCTAGTCATGAAAAATCACGAAAATGTGCCGTATCTAGCGTAGAGGGAACATGCGCAAGCAATTTGGGGCAATTCGAAGAAAAAAACTTTTGAGCGCCCCCGAAAAAAATCTTCTGCAAGGCAAATTTGAATTCTTAAAAAATTCTAAAGATTATTCTAATTATTTAAAGGACAAACAATTTCACTAGCACATTTTTGTCACCCATGAAGTAAATTTCAAAAATTTCGCGACGCTTCTTCTCCACGCTGGAAAGTACATAGCTAACGACCCAAACAAAACATATTGAAGAAAGTATGAGCGCTTTCAAATATCATGCAAAGCTAGTTGCAAAAAAAGCTAGTTGCATTAATAGGGAAACGATTGATTTAAAAATGCATTTACAAAACCCTGCACTGATTCCCGGATAACCTAATAACGTCGGTAACGAAACTGGATGTCCTTCAACGATATGTGACACTATGGGTGGCAATACTTCAAATGAGGTGTTCCGTCCGGACAACTAGCAACAGCTTGATAAAAGTACATTACAGGGCCTCAACGAGGGGCACAAGAGTCTCACAACAAATTTACTCCGCTCAGCTTTGCATATTATGTCATTAACACCTCAAGACAAGATCTTGAGGACCCTGTTTCCGGTAAAATGCATATCTGAGTACTCCATTCATCGGACAAATGCAGACGACTTCTGAGATCCCCATGCTGTCCACCCTTCGTAAACAACAACGCGTCAGCAGCCAATCAGCACAAATAATCGCTCTCCGCTTTGAGGCCGGTCGACAGCAGCAGACAACCAGTTCGTCGGTTTCCATATTTGTTCAACAAACAGAAAAAGTGACTCCTAGCATTGCCACAACCCGGCTATAATCTCTATTAAAGGCTGAGCTGCAACAACACTTTGATCAGTTCTATGCAAAGAAGCCAAAATTTCGAAACATTGAATTTCTATGTATATAACTCCTACGCCTCTCAATCCTTATTTCCTAATAAGGCTAGGAGGAGAGAAAAGCAAATGAAATGGCGGAGCTGTTCACTACTGGACCACTAGATTGCTGGTTTATTTCAGCGTGTAGATCGATTGGTACGGTCTGCTAGTGGGAGATTTCCAAACAGGACCAGTCGCACGTACAACTCCTTGCCTCTTTAGCCTAAGGCTGGATATGACTGATCCGGAAATTCCAGCACAGTTCTGGAACTGGATGGACCTGCGCCGCAACTATGCTGCCCGCGCTGCAGCCGCCCGCAAGCAGTTTTGAGCGACTGGTTTTCTAGTTCTCTGTCAAATTTTGCTCATTTCGGTTTCATTCTTCTACTCCGCTTCCCCTTTTTATGAAAACAGCCCGATGCGCTCCTCTTCAAATAAATCAAGCGCTTGTGAAGGCAATTACGAAATTTGATGTGTTTTGATTGATATGCATCAAATCCCATATCACCCGTATTACCGTATTATCGCGTACCCAAACAAACGACAAAGGTTCCTGAAACGTACGCGCCTCCAAACTATGGTGTCCTCCACTCTTTGAATCATCCACTAACATCAATATTCTCAACAATAGACGGCAGGTGAGCGCCGACAGGAGTGCACACGTATATCTCGAAAACCCAAAGTTTTATCTTCGATACCAAAAGAGAGTTAGCCTGATTATGGTCAGAAGTCCGAAATTGTTCGGTATAGGTGTACTACATAATTGGAAAAGCAACGATAGTTGCTTACAGAGTTTGCTAATGACACTTCTCATTTGAGTTTATTATCAATAGCGAAATTAATTTAACCGAGAGCTGTGCACTATGCATTTAGGTTCCTGATTTATTTAATGGCGGGAAGGCAAAAAACGAACCTCATCGAAATCAGGATTCAATAGAACTGCCTCGCGACGCTCCGTCTCAAGCCACTCAAGCACCTTAAATCAACAAAAATGACTTCATCCAGTACTAACCAAGCTCGATTGAAGCATGATAAGCAAGTTGAAAAGGGGGAAAAGACTATGGCATCAATTTTAAGTCAATAAAATTCTTACAGTAAAGCCAACGAGGATCTCTTTTATGACTAAGTGATCAGAGCATTCATCAAATTTTTCACTTTTGGGACCTACCATATCGTAAACCTACATCAAAGCAGGAGTTTGAAAAAAAAAACGCTCTTATGATTGAAGATTAGTAAAGCCATGTTCAGACATCGTATTGCGGGTAGCAGATCAAAAACATGCATGGTATGATCATGACAAAGTGGTGGAAAGATGTTTAAATTATGCACTAACTTAACGAACAAAAAAAATCAAACACGGCCTAGCTTCTATTCGAAAAACGTGTACATAACATAGACCAAACAAGCAAACCTCATCGCTAGACAATGCACGCTTATTGTCTTTTTCCAACTCTATCCACCGCTTAACTATCTTCTCGTCGTCTTCGAACAACTTCCCTACCACGTTTCGATGAGTGGCATTTCTCCTGAAGTAAACACGGTGAACAGATTAGTGCTGGCAGGCTGATAAACACAAAAACAGAAGATACTAAAGCATACTTGAAGTACAGATGGCAGATAGCGCAATATTTCGGCGGTCGATGTTTTCCTTCCCACAGATACTTCGAGCAATTTGCACACTCATACCGTGGTACTTTTGCAACAACAGCGTCTGTCAGCCTAAAGAATCCTTGTTCAACATTTAAACGGTGAAAAAAAGGGGCGAAAGCGACAATGGCTACCTTTCGCGACAGGTACATCGCGTATACCGTTCATGCACACATGCTTTTCGTTTTGAAAGATAGTAATAGTTAATGATTTCTCCCACATAATATTGGCGCATCTAAATTGGGATAAATGAAACAAGAAAATGACGGAATTATTGCCACTCACAAACTTGTCCTGAATTGTACCAAAGTTCTTTCCTTTCAAATCTCGAAGAACACGTTCAAATTCCTTTTGCTGCGCTACGTTTAACCTAAGATGTTACAAGTTGGTGAACAACACACACATGATATACAGGTACCAATAAAAAAAGAAAACTTATTAAAAAACATCCAAACGAGAAGAAAAAGAATAAATGAGGCAAAAAGTGCACTAACTCTTCAAAAGGTTGCGGTAAATTCTTCCATTGCTCCATCTCAATATTTTCTAACATTTCATCGATGTTGTAGTTATGCTTCATAAGGCAGTACAACATCTGTAAGAGTAAGGATCAACATTAGGCGCTGAGAGTGGTGCGAAAAACTAACCGAATCCAGGCCAATCTTGCCACCAAACTGAGACCTGATGGCGGACCAGGCTTCGTCAAGATCTTCTTCCTTATAGGATGCACTCCCGCTTGGTTCGAGATGCCAGACCTGCTCAATAAAATATTGAATAAGGTTACCGTAAGAGTCAAGCTACTGCAGACAAAATATGTGTATGTATGTGGTACACTACAATTTGTTTCTCAAACATACGCGAAAGTAACGTACGGATTCAAACGGTTACTACTCAAAAAGGCAAATGAGATAAAAGCTGGTATTAACGACACAAGCAAAATTGTGAATTCTCGGTACGTACCGAAGATGAGGAATTCAAAGACCGAAGTCCACAACCAAGATAAAATGCTACAAACTCACAGACTCATCCCTATCCGGTTCCTCATCAGGTTTTACCCTACACGGTTCAATGAAGTCACTAGCGTAAAATGGTTCGAAACATGCCTGTAAAATCAGTGAATGATAGTAGGCAGATGGGTAAATGCAAAATACCTGATGATCTGGCCCAATCTTTGAAGTTAACTCCGGGTGATGCCTCTTTCTCGATGAACCAAGAGGAGACACACTTGGTTCAACGAGATTACTCCTAGTTCTGGGACCAACCATATCTATGGAAAGCTTATCCTTTTCCTTTGCACTTTTGTTCCGAGGAATGATATTAGGTATGCGTACGCCTCCTTTTGGAGGTTGAACGATTCTTGCTGGAAAGGTTTGATTGAGTGATTCACAAAAGTCACGCTAAAGAATAAAAGGTCAAAAAAGTATAATCTCCGTAGGCTTCACGTCATTAGCAGATGAAAGAGTTGCTGTTTTTTCTAGCAGCTTAGCAGAACGATAAGAATAATCAAACAGTAGAGCATAGATTCAGTCTCTATAGACTATTTGTACCAAAAACTCTTTTACAACAACTTAGCCTTCAAGATGAGAATAAATTTCAGAATGGGGGAGGCCGTTCCCAGGAAACCGCTATGTTGCAAAACAAGACCTAGCAGATTTTTTGCAGCAACTTCATCTGACCGTGTAGATACTTTCCATACCTTACTAATTGTTTATGACGAGGACTTTAATTCTCTGGTGTTTTACAAAAAAAACAGATATAAACGTGACCATATATGCAACTTACGCTGCTTTAACCGCTTCGAATCGACGTAATTGTCAACAAAATCTGCAGTGGAGGGGTCACATGTTCGCGTTACCCTACAAAAACTCATCCATTAATCGCTATAGAAACAACCATAGGCAGCTGTTCAGTTTATACATACAAATATGACAAAAGACTCTATATTCAGGTGTTGTTGCCCTACAAGCTAGTTCACAAGTTTACATGTACTCTGAAGGAAAAAACACTATAGTACAAACCTGCCACTTTTCCTGACTGATTCTTCATGAGTGAGCTTCCGCACACCGTTTGATTTTCTTTTCCTAGGTAAGGCTTCGCAGGAAGATTGAGCGGGACTCGGTTTAGACTAAAATGAGAACATTTTCAGAGGATGGCTAGATGGTGCACTTCGAAGCTGCATGATGTAGAAAAGTTATGCACTACGATTTCATACTAGCTAATATGCCAATCCACATAAAAACAAAATCACAAACAATTCAAGTTTATCAAAAAATATGGTATAAGGAGAATTCAAGCATATTATATGTTACAAGAGCTGAATTTCAGTACGGTTTTAGGAGTCTCGACACCAAGATATCGTAGACAGAAAAACATATAGCTGCCTCATATTGTGAATTCTGATTTTTTTAAAACAAACATGCAAGAAAACTGGGCATCAGTATCGTAGGTGGCCTAGGAAGAAACAATTTCAGTATGCATGTTGTTTGCAGTAGCAAATTGTCAAACTAGCTGGAAGACAACTGGAAATTCTTCGATTACTCACTAGAAAAAGCCACATTCGCGAGAATGACCAAAACTGCAGGATCTACCATTACAACATATATGACGTGACAGTGTGCAGAATTCAGGAAGCCAAAAGCTTTCACCGCTTTTACCACTTTTACCACTACCACCACTTTTACCACTACCAGCTTGCACCGATTGTACGACAATTTTCGGGTTACGGTTACATTACATGTGGGGTAGCAAGTTCAGCCGCGTGTACCTACATCGCTGTTGGCGAAGATTGGAGAACTGTGAAGGAACGCTTTATACCTCGCTGCTCGAAGGCTCTGTACTACTTGTTTATTCATTTTAGAGGCTCCGCTACCCCTGATGCGTTCGAATGTATGTTGGACGACAGAGCATGCCATAAGAGCTGACAAGCTAAGCTTGTGAGATATTCGATTTGTACGATCTGAAGGAGGATCGTTCACTACTCTCCAGAATCGTCCATCGTTCTAACTTAATTGAAATGGTCCGATCTGGTACTGCTTAGCCTGTCTGTGGTAGAAAGAAAAATCAGAATGGTGGAAACCCGTTGCAGCACTGCTCGCGATATGGATTTATGAAAATTCCTACATTCGTTTTTGTCTTATAGGAATCAAACTTGGATCCTAATGATCTGATCCTCAGCGCAATTTTAAAATTTTTGCTTTATCTTACATCCAAGGATGGATAAACAGCTAGTAATACGGGTCTCTGAAGCACAAGTATAAAAACCCCTTCAATTCCTCTACCCATCGGCAAGGTAACTGCATACAGGCCTTAAAAGCAGCGTCCAGGCAAATCTGGGCCTATGGGAATCTCACTTGTAGGGTAATCTTGAAGCTCCAACTAAAATATTGCCCATGCGGCAGCCCAAATGGTGAGCTCACACTTGAGATATTTGCCTCCACACTGGACCTCGGGATCGTGTTCGCATGGATTCATGGTGCGACACGCGTGGGTCCTCGCGCGAAATTGATGTGTCGCGCCATTAATCCATGCGAATACGATCCCGGGGTTTTGGAAGCGACTATCTCAACTATGAGTTCACCATTTGAGATGTTGCTTGGGCAGTGTCTCAGTTACGGCCCCAAAATTAGTTTACACATCAGAATTCCGTATGTCCAGATTTGCCTGAACGCTGCCTTTGATGTTTCGCGCTACTTTGATTGCAGATTTTAAGAAGTTTCGGTTTTGAGTCGGCGATTTCGCAGGTAAAAGATCGGACGGAAACGGAAAAGTTGCCACCACAACAAAGGCGAAACAAAAACATTCCACTTACATCTTGGTCATCTTCTGATGGAGGCGTCAGCAAGCTCGACGACGTCTTCGACGTATCCGCTGATTCCGTGACATCCACACGTAAATCGTTCTGGAAGGCCACCGTATTACTCAAAGATCAACTGATACTTGTACTAGATTAGTTATGTCTAGAGCTGATGTAGCCTAGAGCAAGATAGCTGAGGTAGATATGTTCGTAGACACCCTGAGCAAGTTGTTAACCTTCACCAACCTTCGGCCATAGTTTTGGTAAAATAGTCTTTACCGAAACTATGGCCTCTGCCCTCCTTTTCTACCGCGCTTGAAGGACGCATTATGCCGAATTTTACACCCACATCACAAACGCAAAGTTTGATCTACGAGAATTACAAAGCTCTAAGACTGCGTTGACAACATGAAGAGGCACATGGTTACTCAGGATTAGAGTCTCATGTAGTCAAAGGAGTTTTGCGGGGTATAGCCCATTAATTAACACAAATCATACTACCAGAAATCCCTTTTCCACATGATCTTTCAGCAATCAGCAGAGTTAGCGAACATTAAAAGAAAGGTTATTTACATCCCATCACATTCATTTGATGACAACAAAAAAGAAAGAGTAGGTGAGAAAAAGACTAAGGTAGCCGCAGCCCTTTCCCAATCCTGCTTAGTTTTTGCTGATGTTTTTTTGAGGGACACTACCAAAAACCATTGATCTGCATACCAAGCCTTTGCCTGCTTAACAGAAAAGTCAATCTTATTCCATAAACGAACCGAGCCATCACACTGGACTCACTCATTGCGAGAGAAACGGACGAGGAAGATATGACATAAAAAATAATGCGGGGAAAAACTTGCATTCAACTTCAAGCGCATCGCCCACTTAAACCAAAGGTAACTTATGAAAATAAAACGCGGCACAAAACCGCTTAAAAATTATGGAAAGAGGTGGCGTGACCACATGAGCTGCACAAATGTCGCTAGTCATGGTTGATACACTGTTATAAGCCCCATTGTTACCGAAATGCACTGATCGGTCACTTGCATAAGGTGACAGCAGACGTCACAGATAGCCCACCCACAACAGCGATATCCCCTGGGAATGAACTTTAGCACTCGATCACACTTAAAAGGGGACGTGACCTTGAGATTCTGGTTACGGTAAGAGCAGTAGAGTGCATCTCCGTAACTCGTACGGGGTTCTGTCAAAAACACCTCGGTTAATCAGCTCACCTCGTTCACTGCCGTCTGAATGCTCGGCGACGGTGAATCTTGTCCGCTGGCTGACGTCATCGCCATCGGTTCCGCCTCCGCCGACGCCTTCACCATGACGTCTCCGTCGGCCGGCTTTGTTGGTGCAATTTTGCGTGGCGCTGCAGCTGCCGAGACGCTGCCAATCACTTCAGGTGTGGATTTCTTGGATTGCAGCGCTTTTGCCGAGTCCACTGAGGCGGAAATTCGTCTGTTATGAGTCCTCTGAATAGACGATGCGATTCTTGGTTGTAGTGAATTGGTAGCCTTGTGCTGAAGTAGATGCGATTGGATGAGCAGCGATGGCGCTGTCGAGACGCGCTGCATGTACTTCGAGCCTGGCCTAGTCCTGGAATGAGGTTTTATTAATGCTATGTTGATTTTTGAGACTTCTCTGAATCACGTGATAAGCGAAGGTCTCAGCGGCGATGACGCCATGGAATGGTGACACACACTTTCGCAGTGGTTTTCACTATTAGCAGTGGCGCCCTAGTGCAATTCGCGCTTCATACTCCAATAAATTCGAATCTTTCACGTAGACTCTATAAAAACTACTCGAATTCTATGAGGTTGTCGCCTCAAAAAAGCCTTAAAAATCAGACTTTTGAGAACCCGAAATACTTTCGACCCATTCTAAACAATATCAACGATGTGATCGGCGACGAGGAACAACTCCAAGCACATCGGCGATGAATGCGTGGCGAGAAGCGCAGAGAGTGGCCAGCCGGCGGCGAGAGACGCGCCAGTCGCCTGGGCAGGCGAGAGACGCAGAGAAACGCCGCGCGCCACCATCACCGCCGAACAACACCCGACAAACGCTGTTCCCACGGAAATTTCTCGCAATTTCTCAATTCTGCGATAAGAGTTTAGCTAAGAGAACTGCGCAGCACCACCAGATAATCGAACAATGTGAAATTAGAGAAGAAACGTTGTTGGCAAGAGAGGATTGCGAGTTGCTGGTAAAAGCGTGTGTGTAGGCTGCGGCGCGGGGCGGCGACCTACCGTAGTCGACGAGAGACGCGGAGTGCACCAGGCGATAAAGAAATTATTGATCCACAGCCCGCCTACCTACATCGCCGCCACATTCGTCGGATTAGCTTCGACCATATATGGAGAACTATAGATCAGTTTGTGATCTACATGCTTTCAGAGCTCTTTTTTGATCGATAAGACACTAAAGGGTCCCGTTGATGTCGGTCGAAGTAGATCAAAACGCTTTAAAGTGGGGAAGACACTTTATAAGACGCTAAAGTTATTGTAAAATCACTGTAAAGTTGATGCTACACTCTTAGTCTGGCCTTTACTATATTTTAAAGCGCACTGCAAATGCACTTTAGCGATGATAGACGAGCTCAACAATGCGGTCTAAACATCAGGAGGAAATGTGACTGTACGGGTACGGTACATAGGTATAACACAGCAACCATGTCGTAGTTCGTACTGTAGACGCAGTTGCCTCTGTTTCGTAACTGCAGCTTGATTGTTATACTTCCAAGTAGCAGCAAATATACAAAAAAACTGATTTAGCAAATTTACATCTAGTTCATTGCCTTCGCCTGGCCCTGTTCCAACAAAGTCTATTTTTTAGTTATTGCCATAATAAGTGCTTTGTGAGAGGACAATCGCATCTATAGTATTTATTAGTTCGCTAACTCCGAATGGTTTGTGCTATTCAGCGAGCCGCAAAAAAATCCCTCGAACATGATCTGCCGCTTGGAGAATTATTGTCTTAGCTGACTGTAAAAGGAACGTAAAAGCTTCGAAAAGGTCAGATTCTGACCACATTGAGTGACTGTCATTGTCTCGCTGACTATCCGGCCAGGAAATTCTTCCTGAAATAATCTACGTTCCAAGTAATTCCTGGTTCAGGAGCGAAGGCAGAAAGATAAGAGCAAAGAGCAAATAGTCAGGTTGTGATAAAAATAGCTTTTGATAGCTACAGTGGGGCTCCAAGTAGTACTGGAAAATCGTAAATTTGGAGATTGCTCAAGGTATCCGTCAGGTCAACAGATTGCGTAGTGATTCGGAAGGGGTCCCCATTCGGAAGGCAACACTTTTGAATAGATTTCCGATAATTTTTGATAACTTGATGTATGAATATAATAGGTTTTTGTTTGTTTCTTCTCAATAAAACATTTGCTCTTTTGTAAGAATATTTGACGCTAGTGAAAATCCGTTTGAAATTTGTAAGCACTTCATAAGATTTGCACTAATCTCACAATATCTCTGTATTAATTTCGCAGACAAGCTTTGTTTCGCGAAATTAATTCAGGTTGCACTTATCTTTTCATCCTTTTCATTTACAAATAACTTTTTGCAAAACAGTAAATTTCACCGTTAATATATTCGCAGATAGGGAGCTTTCTAATTTGGAGCTTTTACTGGTTGAAAGGACACAGTTGAAAAAATACGTACAGTTGAGAGACGTGCATTACGAAAAACTAGGTTTGAAAAATTGGCTTGAAAAAATGCTTTAGAACCTTTTCTCTCCGCGCTCCTACGGAACTTCCACTTGCTAACCTACTGAGTTTGACGGTTTCATGAAAAATCGACAGTAAATTTATGAACTTGTCCCTAGTTCGATTTTCAAGGGCTTCAAACCTCCAATGTTCGGATATTTGATCTATTACAGGATGATAAGACTCGCAACTGTCTAATATATTCCTTCAGAATCTGGATGGCCTTTAGTACGTCGTAAACACTACCTACTTATTTGATGCCCACATCTGGCAACAAATATCGCGCCCTTGACAAACAACACAAATTACGTCAGCCTTACTATACAGTTCTTTATGTGTGTACTGGACCCCAATCTGTCTCATTAACAATGAAGGCTTTGCAAATAATGAACAAATGAAAGTAGGTTTTGCTATCTTCTTCTGGTAAGGTTCAAAGTAACCTCCGATTCTGACTGATGCTAGTAAAAAAATCCACTTCTTGTTACTTGGCTCGACGACGATCGTGCAGCTATACTTGAGACCCACAGTTGGATGATCCGACGGAATCTCTGCGCCTGTGCACATTCTTCGTTTCAAGACAGTGTTTTTTGTTGTTGTAATAAATAGATGGTTTGAGAATTCACTGTGCTTATTTGTGCTTGAGATAAGTGTGAACTGCAAGAAGATTCTGAGATCATTGCCATGGATATCCTTTTGTTTGATTCCCTTTATGTGCTGCGAAGAAAATAAAGAACACCTGCTGGTAAAGTCTAGCGGTAAAGATATGTAGTATACGGTTCAAAACTCCTACAAGTGCTTTGAGTGGATGAGATTGATTTTGGCTGATCTGGGATGGAATAAACAGTATGATTTTCATTATCCCAGTGCTCTTGATATGGTAGAAACTTCAGCTGCTGAGAGCGTCTTTTTCAGCTTTTTCTTGATCAAATCAGCATCTTTTGAAATCGTGATCTATTTCTTTTCTGGGTTGTAAGCTAGTCATTGAGCAGCTGCGCATTTCTCCGAGTTGAAGAGGTTGAAATTTCAAAATGCAAGATCTCATACAAAATTTGCTGTTCATAATCTTGGAAGAAAATCTCGAAATGCTAAGTCTTTCTTTGGCAGAACGTTCCAGTTAAAAAGCTGTTCTAAATCTTTATAAACGCTTCGTAGCGCCATACTATCAAAACTTATATAGACACCTACATTTGCGAATTGCCTTTCTACCTATGTAACTGTTATTTCATTGTTATTTTGTAAAAGTAATCGATCTCAATCCTTCTTTCTCTCTTTCATAAAGCCCGGGCATACTTCACGCGATTTGGCAATTCGCCAATTCGCCAAAAGTCCAGATCCAACACTAGCAAATTGCATATACACTATATGACTTATGTGGATTGACAAAATGGCCCATCTTCTATATGTTTAAAACGTGTTTAAATGAGTTATGAACAACTGGAATATTGCCAGATTGCGTCGCAACTGAAGTCGCGTAAAGTATGCCCGACCCTATACACCGCATGAACGTGCTAATATCACCGTGACCATCAGCCGTGGAATAAACGAAAATGTTCCATAATGAAAAATCTTGTTATTAACCCAGTACATAATTACAAAATTTGTTTGTAATCTATTTATAGTACGTATCTGATTTAGCAATCAATTACTCCTAAGTAAAGCAAGTTTTCACCGAAAGATTCTTTAATCTATTGGTACAAAGATGATTTCGCTTCGTTTTTCTACGAGAAAATTTCGAATTATGTGGCATTTTTCTACACACGCCTAAATTTATTGGGAAGGTAACTGCAATATGTAGCTGGTTTTCACTTTTTCGTTGCCATTCGCTATTCTCTGCACAAAGAACGCTACAAACAACTATCTCGAGGAAAACGAGAATTTATCTTTAAATTCCAGACCCTAGGAAATGTTCTAGCCCTTTTCTTGGCTAAGAATTGTTTTGATTGAAGTGAATTTTGGAAAAATCCATATTGAGTTCGCATTTATTTTGACCAAGTCTGGTCGGAGCAGCCTTTGGAAATCTTACATTGTCGAAATATGATCATGATGATGCATAATAATTCAAAAGTGCTCCTCATACTTACACTTGAAACCGTAATGATTTTTTGCTGCTCTTTACTGCAGCTTTATTTATGCTTGCACAGGGTACCACTCACTATGAACAAATAGTTTTCGCTTTCAAGCCTACCAATCCTGTTTTTGCAACAAAACGTATTCTGAAAGCCTTTAAAGTTAAAGTTACTCTAACCAATTTCGCAACTAGATGAATCATAGTGCCATAACTTAAATCGTAAATGTGAGTGAAGAAATTGTCATGTCCGCTCCCTTTTGGTCAATTAATCAGGTTGGCTGAAAGGTCCGCTTTGGCATGCGAATCTCCATGAAAATCTGCTCTGGAGTCTATCCATGATTTTTTGCACTGAAGTAGTTTGGAGCTTCCACTAGCGCATAACAACTAAAGAATTTTTATCATTAGTAGAAGACGGTTACACCCGAACATGGCTAGTTTCCAAAAGCTGGATCTTTGATTTTTTAAGCTCATTTTCTGCCGCGATGGATGTAGAGACGAGTAATTTAGTATTTGGAGACGAGGAGTTGTAATCTGGCCAATGAAAGAAACTGTGATCTGCAGTTTCGAAACATTGTTGAAGAAAATAAAATTTTCTCACATTCTTCCACAGTGCGAATCTCGGCATCTCATTTCTTCGTCCTTTCCTTACCCGAAACTAAATTTTTTTGAACAATCATTTTTAGTACTCATTGCTCCTTTCAGAGATAACAATTATCCGACAAAAATTGTCTCCAGCGTATGTGGTCGAAGAAGCGAGCAGACTTTGTCTTTCTTAGTCTTTCTTAGTCTTTGTTAGCCATCTTTCCAAAATTGGAAAACACAGTGGTCGTGAAAGTGAAAGCTTTTAGGCATATTTGTATTGGCATTTGGCAATATTATAGCTACGTTTCACTTTTTTCACATTAAT